CTAATTTCCACACTCTGAATTTTCTGCAAAATTTTCAATTTTCAAAAGTTTGATTCTGCTCACCATTAACCCTTTCAGGGTCTGTCCTGTAGATCTACGGCTTCACGCTGAGTGTCCAAACCATAGATCTACGCCAAAACTCTAGTGCCGTCAAATTTAGCGTGAAAATGCTCATAGGCCTACATGTGAGAGAGTGGGTCTGTATGGTGGGTGTGCGCCATAAACAAAAAATCTAGGCGCCCACATAGCATTGTGGGAACGCTGGCTCAGTTACCCTTGTTCACCATGCCTCGTCGCACGGCAGCTCTCACTCCAAGGAAAATTGGGACTCTCCCCTTCCTATCTGATAGTTCTGACAGTGATGGAAGTGGAAATGAAGATGAATTCTTTGGTTCTGATCAGTTAGTGACCGAAAGGAATGACCAGGATATTGATAATAGTGCAGAAAGCCCTGACGATCCTCAACCTTCTACCTCTGGTGTGGGCACTCATCAGTCATGGTCAGTTGTACCTCAAAGCAAGAGAAAACTATTATTTTCGCGTGGCCAGGCCTCTGACTTCAGTAATGATGATGATGATAGTGACGTGGATTGTGATTTTATTGCGCTCGACGATCATTCGAGTAGTGATAGTGAAGAAACATATTCACCAGTGAAGCATCGGTATGTACGCCGCCGCATGTGCTTGGGTAGTGTACCCTATGCCATGCCCAGGGGACGGAGTACATCCCGTGGCCCTACACCAGGTATAGACAGTGATAGTGAGGATGATGTGGCTACACTTGGCATGGATAGACCACAGGCATCAGTGGATGGTGTTAGTGGTGATGGTAGTGCCACAGCCATGCGTGACTCACCAGCCCAGGCTGGGACCCACGCTGCTGACTCCGCAGTTCAAGGACAAAGCGGAGCGTCAGGCACCAGCCCACCACAACCACAACTACCTGCACAACCAGCCTATGATGTCCAGTATCCACCAGCAAACCGTATCTGGGATTGGCAGCAAAATCTCAATTTTGTTCCCAAGCCCCACCACTTTGATGACTCTCAAAGTGGAAATCCTACCAGCTTGTTCCCTTGGAAACACTGCAAATGAACTGGAATTCTTTGAACTATTCTTTGACCAGCCATTGATGGAAACTATTGTCAGGGAAAGTAACAAGTATTTTGAGTACACCATGGCAAATACGATCATATCGCCACAGTCAAGACTACACTGGTGGAAAGAGACGACTGTTGCAGAAATGCATTTGCTTTTTGCAACAATAATGCTTATGCCTCATGTCTATAAGCATAATATAAAAGCATAGTGGTCCACAGATTGGCTAATTTCTACCCCAGTCTTCAGTGAAATCATCCCAGTGAACAGGTTTATCTTACTGTTACGTATGTTGCACTTCTCTGACAAAACCAGGCCTGACAGAAGTGACAGATTATACAAGATTAGAAATGTTTTAATGTATCTCAAACAAAAGTTCAGCATGTACTTTTATCCATTCAAGAATCTTGTAATTGACGAGTCTTTGATTTTGTTCAAAGGTAGGCTGTCATTCAAGCAGTATATACCAAGCAAGAGGAAACGCTTTGGTATAAAACTGTTTGTACTCTGTGACTGTGACAGCGGCCTGGTATTGGATATTGTTGTATACACGGGAAGTAAAACATTGAAAGATACCAAGATGTTATTGGGTATCTCAGGTGACGTAGTGAGAAACATGATGGCACCTTATCTTGGTAAGTGGCATACATTATATACTGATAACTGGTACACAAGCCCATTACTCAGTGATTTCTTGAGAGTGAACAAGACAGATGTGTGTGGCACAGTGCGTTCTAATCGTAAACATGCCCAGGCTCAACACAGGTGCTCGTGGTGATGACGTGCAGGTGTTTACTGCCAAGGACATCATGGCATTACGGTGGCATGACAAACGAGATGTCACATTGTTGACAACCATTCACCGTAATGAAATGCAAGACAGTGGCAAAGTTGATCAAGTGACTAATGAACGTATTCGAAAACCAGTGACAGTGATTGATTATACACAAAACATGCGCCTGGTTGACAAATGTGACATGCAGATTGGCTTTGTTGATTGTATTCGCATAAGTTACAAGTGGTACATGAAACTTTTCTTCCATCTCATGGACATTTCAATGCTCAGTGCATATAATATGTACCAAATGAAGACTGGGAACAGACCACCGTATGGTGAATTTTGTTTGTCTGTTGTCAGACAACTCATAATGAAGTACCAGGTAACAACACCTGCTATACAACAAGGTCCTCGAACTCCTCAGGATATACCTAAGCATTTGAGGAGGGAAGGTGATCATTTCATAATATAGCTTCCTTCAACTCAGAAGAAATTTGCTCAGAAGAGATGCAAAGTCTGTGCACAAACAAAACGACGGCAACAAAGATGCAAAGACACTCGGTTTATGTGTGAGGAATGTAAGGTACCTCTGTGCATGGTGCCTGTTTCAAGGAGTTTCCACAAGCTCCAGCAGTTCTAAAACCATGTCCAGTGATTGTAAATATGTAAATATATGATAGAACATTAGTATTATACAAGATTTGTGCATGTTTATTGTAATAAACAACAGTGGTAAACAATAATATGATAATAACTTTAGTACGGTTATTGCGTTCAATACAGTGAGTTTATATATATACATTATATACAGTATTGGTCTCTCAGGCCCCAAATGTTAGTAGGAAAAGAAAAAAATAGAAAAGAAAAGAAAAAACTACAAAAAATGTTAAATAAAGTAATGCACATATGTGGAAATCGTCGATGTTGCCGCCACCACGTCATATGGGGTCAACTTCTCGGCACTGTATCTCGGTAAGTACTGATCAGAATTTTTTTTTTTTGTCTTATTACCTTCACAAAAATATACTCTTTAATTTTGTAAGAAAAAAATAATTTTTTTTTTTTCAAAATTTCTTGGACACTGGAGCACCACTTTAGATTTTGGCCTTGGACCCTGAAGGGGTTAACCCTTTCAGGGTCCGTCCCGTAGATCTACGGCTTTACGTTCAGGGTCCAAACCGTAGATCTACGCCATGAGCTCAGCTCACTCTGATAAACTGTGAGTGGTACATTGGGCCTAAGATATGAGAGAATACATCTATGTGGTATGTGTGCACCACATAAAACAGATCCTGCAGCACACTGTGTATAATGAGAGAAAAAAAAATGAAATCATGATTTTTCGATTAAAACAGCAACTTTGCAGTGTTTTTTTCGTATGTTTTTTATTGTTGTATTTGCGATTTCTTGGTCTCATTTGATAGAATGGAAGACATATTACAGAAATAGAGAGATTTTGATTGGTTTTAGCACTGGAAATGGCTTGAAACTGAGCTCAAAGTAGCAGAAAATGTTAAATTTTTTGCCGATATTCAAGAGTAAACAAACGACCTCACACTCTAATACACGTCAGCTGGTGGGTCTAATATACATTCACAAATATGGTGATGATATTTATACAATTATTACAGTATTGCATAACAGTAAATCTTCCATTTTTTGGTGTGAATAAAAATTCATTATGTGAATAAAAAATCAAAATTGAATTTATTTGTAAAGCCTCAAAACATAACTAATGAACAGAGGAAATGTTAGTTTAGTGCCAGGAATACCTACATTGTTCATTCTGGACCCTATTTTGAAATTGGAATATTTTGAACTTAGTGTTAAATTGGCCAAATTAACAATTTCCAATCACTTTATTTTGTAGTTGAAACAGTTGACTTGGCGATTTCTTGTGCTCAATCGATAGAATAGAAGTAATACTAGTGAAATAGCTAAGAATTTGGTTGATTGGAATAATGTAATTGGCCTAAAATGGGAGTCAAAGTCGGCAAAATCGCCGATTCGTAAATATCGCTGACACATCAAAATTCGCGAGAGCATAATTTCGTCAATTTTCCACCAAATTTCGTACTTTTTGTTTTATTACCTTCACAAAAAGATTCTCTACGATTTCATAAGAAAAAATAACAAATTTTTTTTTTTTAAATTCTTGGACACTGGTGCGTGACTCCAGATTTGGGCCTTGGACCCTGAAAGGGTTAAGAACATCATACTTATTCATGTGCCTACTACATACACAGAACAATACATGCAAATATAAACCCTCCACTCAAACTTCTCACCAACCTAAACAGGACATATGACAACAACACAAGACACAGATCTCTTTTTGATATACCTCGTGTCCATATCACACTGTGTAAAAACTCTATGCACATAAAGGGCCCCAAAATATGGAATTCATTACCAGAAGACATTAAAGTAACCCAGTCTGAAAATCAGTTTAAGACACTTCTCAAAAGCCACTTAATCACTCTAGACTAAATGCTAAATACTCAGTATACATTTACTCACCTATGTACTCCCACATCATAACTGAAACAATCACTTTGAACCTTTTATCCATTGTTGACAGGAATATAACTGAATCACTGTTTTTACAAAAATCATTTTCAAGTACAAATCTATCTTTGTATTATACAAATTTTTATTCATTTATAATTAATATTCTATTGTACAACTATGAAATAATTATTATCCTACTGTACAACTATGATATACTCCTTAGTGTTAAGTAGACTGTAAGCCAATAATGTTAAGTTGGCCCATAATGCTTAGGCATAATAGAGGCTCTCTTTGTATTGCAACCCACTATTGTAAATACAAAATCTCAATGTACTGTTTGCAAAGACATAAAATAAATAAATAAATATTTATACTGCACATTGCTCTTAGACAGGACATCTCCGCTGCCTCCAACCACCTCCTCGCTACAGCATTTACAATCCAAGCTTCACACCCGTATAAGAGAGTTGGTACCACTATACTTTCATACATTCCCTTCTCTGCCTCCACAGATAACGTTTTTTGTCTCCACATATGCCTCAATGCACCACTCACCTTTTTTCCTTCATCAATTCTACGGTTAACCTCATTCTTCATAAACCCATCCATTGACACGTCAACTCATAAATATCTGAAAACATTCACTTCTTCCATACTCCCTCTCTCCAATGTGATATCCAGTTTTTCTTTATCTAAATCATTTGATACCTTCATCACCTTACTCTTATCTATGTTCACTTTCAACATTTACACACCCTCCCAAACTCCTCCACTAACCTTTTCAACTTTTCTTTAGAATCTCCCATAAGACAGTATCATCAGCAAAAAGTAACTGTGTCATTCCCATTTTGTATTTGATTCCCCACAATTTAATCCCACCCCTCTCCCCAGCACCATAGCATTTACTTCTTTTACAACTCCATCTATAAACATATTAAACAACCATGGTGACATTACACATCCCTGTCTAAGACCTACTTTTACCGGGAAGTAGTCTCCCTCTCTTCTACACACCCTAACCTGAGCCTCACTATCCTCATAAAAACTCTTCATTATTATTACATATTATTTTCACAGGGAAGCACTACACTTGTAAGAGATATATAGCGCCTGGAAATAAGGAGAAACAATAACTACAAACCATCAGTGACTTGTCTTTCTGTATTTTCATTGTCATTTTTTCATAAAAACAACTGATTAATGTTTTACACTGACTCACATTAAATGCGTATAATATCCAACTGTTTTTTAAGTGCCACTTATTTATTACATATGAAGAGTTCAACCCAATTTTGTCATAAAAGATTACAAGATTATGAATAACTCGGACCAATATTTTCATGCAAGACTCCGAGGATTACATATACTACAGTATAAGTTGCAAGTTAATTTAACCTTGCCTGTAACTGAGAGTTAGCTGACCTTCATCCTCACCTGTATTTTACCTTCAACTGCATTGTCTTTCAAAGAACACACAGCTTCTAATCCAAGTGAAAAGTGATCAGTTGAAAAATGCACATTCTTCAGAGTGATAATCTTGTCTGTATCTGGTGCATGCTTGATCTCAATAGTACCTAGTGAATAGGAAAAAAGAGAGAAGGATAATGAAGACTATTTAGAGAATGAAACAATATACTGCATGTTACTTCACAGGAAGAAAAACTACAATATATATTATTTGACTGTACAGCTCTATGCTATTTTTGCTGTAACATACTAAAACTGCCCAATAGCCATCTACTAACTGAAAGCTCCAAATAAAGGTCCCATGGCCATGTCAAAACTCAAGAAAATCAACAAGTAAAGTAAAGTTTATTTCTTTGTAAAGGTTACAATGTGTAATTACAATTTTGATTTGCTAAGTACAAAGATAGCCACTATCATGCCAAGGCATTTCGGGCAAACTAATCGTAATACATAGTAACTAATTAAAACTAGATAAGATAATAGTACATAGTAACTATACTTAAAACTAGACAAGTTATAGTGGTTAGCTGTTTTACAATCTTATTTAAACTTAATATAATCTTATTTAAACTTAGTACAAGTGAGTAGGGTTCAGTAAAATAAGCTTGAAATTGCACACAAAATCTACCTTACAAGTAATGGCACAGGTGGTAATATTTTATGGAATGGCAGATTTAAAAGCCAGGAGGTCACATGATAAGACTAATTAGCAGATGTTTTGGAAGATTTGGTTAATATTGAGAAATAAGATGATTTTTATGGACTGGCAGAATTAACCCTTTCAGGGTTGGTACCGTACTAGTACAGCTTGCACGCCAGGGTTAATGCCCTACTAGTACGCATAAATTCTAGCAGCTTCAAATTAAGCAGGAAACAGCTGGTAGGCTTAGATGTGAGAGAATGGGTGTGCGTGGTCAGTGTGAGTGGTAGAAAAAAATTCTGGGACCCAGTGGCGCATTGTGGGAATGCCATTTTAGTAGACCTTGTTCACCATGCCTCGTGGTAAGAAGCTCCTCACTCCTCGGCGAATTGGGACACTTTTGTTCCCCAGTGACAGTTCTAATACAGATTATAGTGCCAGTGAAGATGAGTTTCAAGGTTTTGATGAGGTTGTGACCGAAACTAATGACCATAATACCGGTAATAGTGAGGAAAACCCAGACGACCCTCAGCCTTCCACCTCTGCTGCTGGGTCGTCTTGTTCACGTTCAGTTGTACCAGAATCAAAGAGGAAACTCCTATTTTCCCAAATCCCGGACTCAGATGTAAGCATTGGTGATGATAGTGATAGTGAATATGAACTACAAGCTCTTGAAAACAGTTCCAGTAGTGATAGTGAAGTGGAATATTCTCCAGTGAAGCGTCAGTATATACAACGATATATGCACTCTGGTAGTGTGCCATATGCTATTCCAAGGGGAAGGAGTACATCTCAGAGTACATCCCATGGCTGTACAACAGGAGCAGACAGTGAAAATGAAGATGATAGTGTTGCAATTGGGATGGAAAATGCGCATGGTGGTGGTAGTGGTGGTGCCAGCCGTGAGGCACCAGCAGTGGGCTATGCTGCCACCCAGGCTGCCACTCATGCTGCCACCCATGCTGCTATCTCAGCTGATCTACAACAAAGGCCACCATCCCCCACCCACCAGCCTCCACAACCACAACCTCCACAACCACAACCACCTGTCAATATCCAGTACCCACCAGCAGACTGCACCTGGGATTGGCAGGAAGCTGCCAATTTTGTTCCCAATCCCCATCACTTTGATGAAAGTCAAAGTGGAATATGGCCATCTTGTACACTTGGGAACAATGCCACTGAACTGGAATGTTTCGAGTTATTCTTCGACGAACCCCTGATGGAAATTATTGTCAGGGAAAGCAACAGATACTACGGGTACACCATGGCAAACACAATACTTTCGCCAAACTCACACCTACACCAGTGGAAGGAGACAACTGTGGCTGAAATGTATCTTTTGTTTGCCACAATAATGCTTATGCCACATGTGTATAAGCACAGTGTGAAATCATACTGGTCAACAGAGCACCTGATTGCAACCCCAGGTTTCAGGGATATAATGGGAGTGAATCGATTTGTGCTACTATTACGTATGCTTCACTTCTCAGACAAAACCAGGCCTGATAGAAACAACAGGTTATATAAGATTAGGAATGTGTTTGTGTATCTGAAACAGAAATACAATATGTATTTTCATCCCTTCAGGAAGCTTGTTATTGATGAGTCTTTGATTCTGTTCAAAGGAAGACTCTCATTCAAGCAATACATACCAAGCAAGAGGAAACGCTTTGGTATAAAGTTGTTTGTGCTTTGTGATTGTTACAGTGGTCTTGTATTGGATATAATTGTGTACACTGGAAGTAATACATTGCTAAATACCAGGAAGTTACTGGGTATCTCCGATGATGTGGTTAGAACAATGATGGAACCATATCTTTGTAAGGGACATATATTATATACTGATAACTGGTACACAAGCCCCTTACTCAGTGATTTCTTGCAAGTGAACATGACAGATGTGTGTGGTACAGTGTGTGCAAATCGTAAACATATGCCCAAGTTTGACGCTGGCACTCATAGAGGTGAGGTGCAGGCATTTGCTGCCAATGACATCATGGCATTTCAGTGGCATGACAAACGAGATATCACACTGTTGTCATCAGTTCACCTTAATGAAATGGCAGACACTGGCAGGCAGCATAGAGAAAGCAATGAACCCATTCTACAACCTGCAGCTGTGATTGACTACACCCTCAATGTGTGTTCAGTGGACAAATGTGACATGCAGATTGGGTTTGCTGATTGTGTTCGCAAGAGTTATAAGTGGTATTGTACATAAAACTTTTTTCCATATTCTGGACATTTCCATGCTCAATGTTTATAATATATGTAAGATGAGGACCAGAAACAAACCACCACATGGCGAATTTTGTTTGTCTGTCATCAGACAAATAATAATCAAGTACCACAGAACAGCACCTGCAATAGAAAACCGCCCACGTAATTATCAACAACTACCTTCTCGTCTGAAGCATGGTGATCACTTCCTAACAAAACTGCCTGCTACTGCTTTCAAGAAAGAGGCTCAGAAGAGGTGTTACGTCTATGCACATACAAAAAAATGCCCACAACAATGCAGAGACACTCGTTTTATGTGTGAGGAGTGTAAAACACCATTGTGCATAACACCATGTTTCAAAGACTTCCACAGGCTGCAGAACTTCTAAAAATATGTCCTGTGACTTTATATGTGTACATAAAATATAGAAAAATAGTAATAAACAACATTTTGTATTGTTCATTTGTGTAAATATGTTTTGTAATCAAAACAGTGGCAACAGTGTTTATGCAGTTATTGTGTAGTATAGAAAAAGAAATAACTTACAAAATAGTGCTCATATTGGTCTCACAGGCCATAAAAGTTACTTGGAAAAAAAAATTAAAAAATAATAGAAAATAGTACCTAAAAAATAAAATAAACTAATACCAGGTGACCGGCAGTCAGTGATGTTACCGCATGCCGGTCATTTTCTGTCAACTTCACGCCTCCATATCTTGGTAAGTATTGATGGTAAAAATATTTTGTTTAGCCTATAAAATTCAGAAAAAAAACACTATCTTTTCATAAGAAAAAATAATTTTTTTTTTTCAAATTTTTACCGACCCTGAGAACAAGTTTGGGAGAGGGCCTGCCGACCCTGAAAGGGTTAAGAGCCTATAGGTCACATAATAAAACTAGTTAGCAGATGTTTGGCTGATTTGGTTAATATTGTGAGATAAGACGATTTTTTAGCAAAGTCCTAAATTTATGAGCTGTCAGGGAATCCTGACAGCATAGCGTTCTTGCATAATGAGAATCTGACTCGAGGGATGTTGAAAAGTGCCTTATGCCTTGTATTGTGCCTGTGCATTCTGTTGTAACTGTCAAGGAGTAGTTTTAGGGAAGGGTTTACAGTGGAGTTTAATGTTCTGTATATGTAGTAGGGACAATAATAAGAGTGTATGTCTTGTATATTTAGCAAGTTGAGTCTTTTGGAAAGTGGTGGGGTGTGCTGTCTAGCACAGGAGCTGGTTATCACCCATGCAGCAGCTTTTTGTTGGATTACTAAGGGTCTAAGGTGGTTGGCTGTGGTTGAGCCCCAGGCACAAATACCATAGGTGAGGTAAGGATATATTAGCGAGTGGTACAGGGTAAGGAAAGTCGTTTGTGGTACATGGTATCGAATCTTGGAAAGGATTCTGGATTCCCGGATTCCTACTGATTTGGAAATTTTTTTGGCTCTGTGATGGGTATGGGACTGAAATTTAAGATTACAGTCAAGGAGAAGACCTAGGTAAGTAAAACAGATAAGACAAAAGATTCTTAAGGATCTTTCACCTATTTTTTCATCAACAATACATGGCAAGAGAAATTCATTAATATCTAAAAGGACATAAAATAGTGTCAAGCCATACATTAATGATTAATGGTTCTCACATTGCTAAACAAAATTAAGGAAAATTCTTAGATCTGTTTCTAGACAGCAGCTTGAAATTCAACACCCACATTCAACACATTAAAAAAAAGTATCCAAATCAGTTGGCATCCTCTCCAAGATATGCTACTACATACCTCAAACAGCACCACTTACATTATACTACTCTCTAATATATCTCTACCTGACCCATGCTATTTGTACCTGGGGATCCACTACGGCAATCAACTTAAGCCAATAATAACACAACTAAAAGTGGCAGTACGAATGATCACCTAACTTGGTGCCAGACAGCACACTCCCCCACTCTTCAAATATCTAAACTTACTTAATATACATAAAATTCCCTCATACTACCGTGCATACTACATATACAGGACAATCAATTCTAATATCAGTCCTGCCCTGCAACTCTTTCTTGACAGTTGCAACAGAACTCATAGGCATAATACTAGACACAAAAATCTCTATGATATTCCCCTGTCCAGCTCAACCTTAGTTAAAACTCATTGTGCATAAATGAACCTAAAATCTAAAACTCTTTACCTGAATATTCCAGTCTCTCTCTATCTGCCAGCTGCTTTAAAGCAACTGTTAAAAAACACCTCCTCACCTTAATGTGATCCTAACAATAATTAATTAGGTTGAACAATTCTTTCTTCCTAAATTGTCCCTGTTCTTGTCTATCATTCCTTTAACTCGTGTACCTAGCTTCATCCTTTTTTTTGTACCTCTGTATGTATGTTCAAATTATTAAATAAATAAATAAATAAATAAATAAATATTTTCTTTTTTAACATGCTGGCAGTCTCCCACTGAGGCAGAGTGACTCCCCCCCCCAAAAAAAAAAAAAAACTTCCACCAACATATACACTATCGATCTTGCCAGAGGCGTGCAGATACAACAGTTTAGATGTCCCTCTAAACAGCAACTACCCCTAGGGTGTAGGAACTATACTCCTCCACCTCCAAGACTCAAGTCCTAAATCCCTCCAATATAAAATTGTACAGCAAGTTTCTCTCTCATATCAGTTATGAACTTGATGAAGAGAATTTGAGTCTTAAACCAGCACTGACTGTTGCCAACAACCACCACCTACTGAGCCTCAGCCAATGACGGACTCCTAGGCCAAAATACCAGTAAAAACTCTACATAATATATCACTTATGACAGCCATGGTAAATAAGCTGTTTCATGGGACAGAATTAAATGTATGGCTTCCTAGTCAAATGCAACTTTTGCTAGGCACTATATTTAAAATTTTAAGCATCATTTTCCATTCCACATGCATGATCTTTGCCTGAATTAATTTGTCATTAATGAATTACTGAGAGCAACTAAAAAATAACTTTCTGTCACCTTTCTTGAGATTTATACCTACCTTACTACACAAAGGCAATTATGAATTGGAATTAATTAACAGTAGCCTAAAGTTTGTCTCAATGTGCATATTTTTTCCTTTACTCCTATACTGTCATGGCTATTTACAAACATTCTGAATAGACAATTATCCCAAGAAATGGAATGCCATTTTAATTCCATTTTTATTGTTTCCATAATATGAAAACTATTTCTAATACTGTATTTAAACAATATATGCAACACAATTTTCATGGAAGAATTGTTATGTCCCGCTGATCTTAGTGGCTAGGCCATTAAGTGCGTGTTCTCAATCCTTGTTGAATGAGAGCTAAGCCTATCTAAGGAAATAAGAAAACTCTAAGGAAGTACTGTAATTTGAAGATGCCCAAATCCTTGGGGTTGTTAGAGACTGTTATATGGCAGAAGAAATCCATTTAGGTGTTTTGAAGTATAGCTATTTGTAGTGCAAGCTTTGTTTACATCACTGAAGCCAAAACATACACAGATCATCTTGCATCTCTCATGGAGAGGAATGCCCTTCTCTTAATTTCTAACAACTCTGCTCTTGTAGCTACAAATAGATTAAGTAATCAAAAATAGGTCATTTGAATTGTGATGACTGCACATTTCCAGCAAAATGGCTACTGAATGAATGATGGTTAATGTGTTTTCTTTTTTGGGGGGTTACCCTGCCTTAAGAGACCACCGGTAGTAAAAAAATGTTCCCTCTTTCTCTTGCACACCATATATCACAATCAGTGTGTCTTAGCAGAACATCACACATCCAAGCTCACCAATACATCACATCAAGCTTGGCTCTTGACCATGTTACCACTCTCTCTCAAGAGTAGAATGCCAATTTTAGCAATCAAATTACATAGCACAAAATAATAGAGAAGAACAAAAAAGTGCAAGAGTATCAGATAAATGTGAAGACAACTGTAGTAAATGGTACGACATAGGATTTTTTTAACACGTCAGTGGTTTCCCACCGAGGCAGGGTGACATAAAAAAAGAGAGGAATGGACACAAAAACAAAAACAAACTTTCATCATTCAACATTTCCACCATCATTCATACATAATCACTGTCATTGAACAGGCACTCAGATATGACAGTTTAGATGTCACTCCAAACATATAATATCCCAAACCCCTCCTTTAAAGTGCAGGCACTGTACTTCCCACCTCCAGGACTCAAGTCCAGCTAACTGGTTTCCCTGAACCCCTTCACAAAATATTACCCTGCTCGCACTCCAGCAACTTGTCAGGTCCCAAAAATCATTTGTCTCCATTCACTCCTATCTAACATGCTCACGCACGGTTACTGGAAGTCCAAGTCCCTCACCCACAAAACCTTCTTTACCCCATCCCTCCAACCTTTCCTAGGATGACCCCTACCCTGCCTTCCTTCCACTACAGATTTATGTGCTCTCAAAGTCATTCTATTTTGTTCCATCCTTTCTAAATGACCAAACTACCTCAACAACCTCTCTTCAACCCTCTGACTAGTACTTTTAATAACTCCACACCTCCTAATTTCCATACTACAAATTCTCCTCATAATATTTACACCACACATTGCCCTTAAGACACGACATCACTGCCTCCAGCCTCCTCCTCGCTGCAGCACTTACAACCCATGCTTCACACCCATATAAGAATGTTGGTACCACTATACTCTAGTACATTCCCTTCTTCGCCTCCATAGATAATATTTTTTTTTGTCTTCACAGATACCGCACAGCACCACTCACCTTTTTTTTCCTTCATCAATTCTATGGTTAACTTCGTCCTTCATAAACCCATCTGCTGACATGTCAACTCCCAAATATCCGAACACATTCACTTCTTCTATACTTCCTCCCTGCAATGTGATATCCAATTTTTCTTTATCTAAATTGTTTGATACCCTCATCACCTTACTCTTATCTATGTTCACTCTCAACTTTCTTCCTTTACACACCCTCCTTACCCTCCTTATTATAGTGTAATAATAACTGGCAGTGGCTGCCTCATGTAGAAAAAATGGTGAGAAAACGTTACCTGCTTCACAAAACAAAATAAAACAAGCAATTCGTCAAGATTTATATATAACACTGACCTTTGAGAGTGACATCAAAATACTTGCTCAGCGTACCCTCCGTGTAGAGATCCAGTGTCACACTGGTGACTTTATCTGACAAATATCGTGCTACATAGCCCTCCAATAAAGCATCCTCCTGTTGACCTGGATAAGCTATTACCAGTCGAGGTTTTACACTCACCTGAAGAACATAAGTTACAGTACAGCATTACAAGATGAAAATTATTGACACTTGTGAAGCAGACTTGGTTTTTGTATGAACTTCATTTCTGCTGAATTCAGATTCATAATTTTCTCATTTATTTTCTACACTTTCTAGATAATAAAACTTCTTTACTTCAAGCACTTTTGGTTTCTCACTTGTTCACTAAAGGTTAAGAAGCAGAGCTCAAAAACCCCTGCAGATTTGTTAGGCAAGAAGTCATGCAAGCACCATACTGTATCTGCACTGCTAAAATTTCAAGAGCCACATACCATACCTCTACTCATGTCTTGCTGAGTACATATACTTTGTGTAAGACATCACTGCAAGACCCTAAATGTCCTATTAATTAACTGGTATAATATACAGCCACGCCAAGACTCACGTGTCCACCATCTTGAACCATAAGAAGCTCAGCCTTCAGACCGTACACATGCCTCCCAAAACCTATGTGACCCTCTATGCGCTTCAGGTTTGGGTCATTCACCAGTGAGGCTGTGAGAACAGGTAAATTTCATCAGTAGTATGGAAGGTTAATGTATGGAAAGAAAAAAATATTTTATAAATAATTAAGTATAGTGTCATATATATCAAGAAGTAATACATAGTGAGTTGAGTAACTGCCTTCTGAATATGACTGATTACATTTCAACGCCAACTAATGACAGGCTGTTTTTATTTTATATTTTACAAGCCGCTCCCCCCTCCCATTATTTTAGAACAAAACTGAAAATTATGATATTTTTTTTTATAGCCAACAATGTAAACATTTTACTTATTATAGATGTTTCCTTTGATATTTGCAAAGGATTAGCTCAGAATCTGATCTTTTACCTTCTCATTTTATTTGAAATTTCTAGTCTTTTCATACTGCATTAATGAAAAGCATGTTCAAATGTTCACTGAAAGGTTTTGAAAGTGACTCAACAATGACCTTTAACTAAAATTGGTCAGCATTTTACATTTAAAATGTCTGTATACTTCATTAAACTTACATTTTTCAAACATACGCTCATATCAAATATCACATTTTATTTTTTATTCCCTTTGTTGATGCTGAAATAAAGTAAATTGCCTGTAAAAGATAAAATAAAGTGAAACCTCCATATAATGGGCTAATAAGGAGAAAGGCATATTTGCTTCAGCAAAAATCTGTTATATAAAGTTACAATAAAAGCAGACTATGTCGGTTTTATTGATGGACTACTAGACATGGACAAACCCCCAATAATCTAGACTCAATCAGCTGCACTGATGATATCACCAGACTACTATGATCTGTAATGCAGTACAGTAAATTAATAATACATATATTTTAGAGCAATTTTTCACACACCATATGACACCACTGTCACTTGAGACACTTTGTGCCTTTACCACCCATCACGGCCCACGACCCACCACCCACAACCACCCTCTTGCAATATAGTTGTAAATAAATACAGACTAATAATTTTTCGTCAAACATTGCATTTCTCTCCCAAGACCAGATGATGAGAGTACACAAGTGCACATGAAAACAATAACAACTGACACAGGCTGGGTCAGTGGCCTCTCTTTTGTTGGAGCAATGAAAGAGGACAAGTCCTGGACAAAGCCTAGACCAGATAAACATGCAATTAAGCAGACTTGGTTCACTTTACTCCCTTCTCGTTGATGGACCCACCTTTCATCCAGACTCTCTCATTGACTTTTTGACAACAACTGACTTACTTCACAAATTCTGATACCTTCAGCCCTTTCTACTTCAATCTCTTGCTACCCTCTACCCACGTACTATCCCCTGCCCAGCTGTTTTCTGTAACCTACTGATCATCCCTCCTCCCTTCTACCATCCAATACCCTCGCTTCCTTCCCTACCCTGCAGCGCTGTATAGCCCTTGTGGCTTAGCGCTTCTTTTTGATTATAATAATAATAATAATGATTCACTTTACTGATGGTATGACTAGACTGGCCAGCCATGCAATATAGCCAAGTTGATAAATTAGACACATGTGCAACTCTTGGGTATCTTTATGGACTGAACACATCGAGTCAAGGTTGAGGGACTGATTACCTCATTCTCCTCCTGTTCTTCAAGTTTCTCCTATGTATGGACTGATGAAGCCACTGTGTGGCGAAACGTTTCCTCAATAAAGATACCCAAGAGTTGCACATGTGTCTAATTTATCAACATGTCGGTTCTCTGAACCATTCATCTGCATAGCCAAGTTGGCTCACTACACTGCTATTTTTATCAGACACCCCATTAAACAGAAATATCGAGCTTGTGTCTGGCCAAATTATTTGTCCGTTTTATCCAGTATCCTCTTTATGGTGGTTCATTTAACAAGGTTTTACTGTAAGCCTCACCTAAGAGCAAAAATATTGAGAAATTCTGGTTGTGGAGATATGCATTTACTTGCATAAAGAAGAACTAACATCTTTGTAGCACACTAACACATCTTATCATTATAAGTTTGAGAAGAAACCAAAATTCATGACATACATCGTAACATAATATGAGGGATACATTATGCTGAAGGAAACAGTGTCCACTACATGCAATATATCAGCTTTATAAAATGGGAATTTTCAGTGGAAAATAAGAATTCAAAAAATAATGGTGATGATAACAATCATACAAATAAGAATACCAATAATGATTAGTAGTATAGTAGTAGTAGTAGTAATAGTAGTAGTAGTAGTAGTAGTATAGTAGTAGTATTAGTAGTAGCATTAGTAGTAGTAGTAGCAGTAGTAGTAGCAGTAGTAGTAGAAGTATTATTATTATTATTATTATTATTATTATTATTATTATTATTATTATTATTAGTAGTAGTAGTAGTAGTAGTAGTAGTAGTAGTACAGTGGACCCTCGGATAACAATGCAATCGAATAGCGATAAAATTGGATATCGATGCGTCTTTGCGTAAAAATATTGGCTCGGCCAACAATGAAAAACAAGGTTAGGGACGATCGTCCCGAACCCATCTGCACGGCCTGGCCCACCCGCGGCTGCCCAGCCACTATGTACACCCAATGTGCCATTGTTTACAAGCCAGGGCAAACGGTTCCATGCATATATTCAATACATTTTGTATTATTCCACTGTTTTTAGTGTTTGTAACTGCTAAATAAGCCACCATGGGCCTAAAGAAAGCTTCTAGTGCCAACCCTGTGGTAAAAAGGGTGAGAAATACTATTGTACCACAGTCAGCTTCTGCTGCTGCACCACCTGTCAGCTGCTGCTGTACCATGGTCAGCTGCTGCTGCACCACTGTCAGCTGTTGCTGCACCACTGTCGGCTGTTACTGCACCACTGTCAGCTGCTGCTGCACCACTGTCAGCTGCTACTGTACCATGGTCAGCTGCTGCTGCACCACAATCAGCTGTTGCTGCACCACCGTCAGCTGCACTACTCGAAGATGTGGAGAGACTGTTGTTGTTGTGGCTTAACGAGAAGCAATTACCGAGAAACAATTAACCCCAGAGGGTTAGCCACCCAGGTTAACTCAAGAAAGTCAGTGCGTCATCGAGGACTGTCTAACTTATTTCCATTGGGGTCCTTAATCTTGTCCCCCAGGATGCGACCCACACCAGTCGACTAACACCCAAGTGAACAGGAAAAAACGCCTGGAACTAGTGCTGATATTGGTGAATTTAAGGCCAACAAAGGTTGGTATGAGAGATTTAAGAATTGTAGTGGCATACACAGTGTGATAAGGCATGGCAAAGCTGAAAAATTCCAACCCCAACAAGTGTTCAATTGTGACGAAGCAGGCCTGTTCTGGAAGAAAATGCCAAACAGGACCTACGGGCACTCCCAGGACACAAGCCTATGAAAGACAGGCTAACTCTCATGTTTTGTTGTAATGTTAGAGGGGTTTGCAAAGTGAAGCCTTTACTCATGTATCACTCTGAAAATCCCAGTGATACTCATCAATACTCTTCAATAAAGGTAAGTGTCATTTTAGTAATTATTTATGTATTTATTCTGCATGTCTCGTTGTTTTCTGTGTAGGGAAATGTATATTTCATGTAAAAAAAATATATTTTTTTTAATACTCTTGGATGTTTGGAACGGATTAATTGGATTTCCGTTATTTCTTATGGGGAAAATTAATTCGGCTAATGATGAAGTTGGTTAAGGACAAGCTCTCTGGAATGGATTAAAATCGTTACCCAAGGGTCCACTGTAGTAGTAACGTAGTAAACCTACTTTCTGCAAAGGCAGAAAACTGTTGGCTGAGAAACTGCAGCTTGAGTGTGAAGTGTGGAGAGTAGGTGAAGCCAAACACCAGACCAGCCTTCTTCTCCGAACTCAAACCCTCAGTCTCGATGTGGACGTCAAGGAACACAGAATTAACTCCTAGCAGATATGAAAACAAAATAAAGCAGAACTGAGATAATGATGAATAGAAATTATATGAAGATGCAAACTGCCAAAATAATTCTTTCTTAAATAATAAAATGTTTAGTTCCTGAAATGTAGCTTTAGTAATCCACAGACAAATGAAAATAACAAGATACACAAATAGCCAGTACTACATAAGAATGAACTTCAGAAAATATTTACCTAAAGGTAATTATTATACAGTACTGTACCTACAAAAGTCCAAACTAAATTTCAATATATATACAGGTCGGCCATCACTAATCTGGCATCATTGAGACCTGTAGTGTGCCAGATTAGTGAGTTTGCTGGATTACAGAGTGGTTAGGTTAGAATACACTTAATTAACCTATCAATAGAGAGACTTTCTGCTACATCTTCCTTATATTCATCACTGCTTTCTCCTCCACTTGCTTGCTGCTGTGGATTTACAACCATCTGCATAATTTCTGAGTCAGTATAATGATGAAATCTGAGTTAGTATAATGATGAAATTAGAAATTAATACTAGCTAAAATTAATGCCGGATTACTGATGGAACTGGATAACTGATTGCCGGATTAGTGATGGTCGACCTGTGCCATATTTACTCTGTACTCGTCTATATGTACATAGTTGCAGGCATTAAGTCTTAACTCCTAGCCCTGCCTCTTAACTTGCCACTTGCCAGATTCACTCTCTCCTAACCATAGGCCCTATCATACCTATTCTTAACCCTTTGACTGTCACAACCCCAAATCCTGAAGTGTCTCCTGGTGTTAAAAAATATTCGGAAAAAAAGCAAATAATTTTTTCTTACGAAAATGTTAAGATTTTTTTCTGACTGTTTTAAGCCCCCCCAAAAAATTTGCCATCAGTACTTACCAAGATATAGAGGTGTAAAGTTGGCAGAAAATGAGCCATGTATGGCAATAGCAACGAATGCCGCTCACCCAGTAAACTTTGGTTTACTTGCATTCGAAGGTTTCTTATTTTTTTTCACTATTTTATTTTTTCACATAACTTATGTGGCCTGTGAGACCAAAATATGGTGCAATGTTCATATATACATTCGTTGAATGTAACACAATTATAGCAAAAACACTAGAATCATCATGTTGTTTACAAAACTTGTTTACACAAACAATATAAAAAAATTTTTATTACGACTGTTCTAATATATATACATACATACAATCACTGGACACTTTCCTAGAACTGTTGCAGCTTGTGGAATTCTTTGAAACATGGGTCTATGCACAATGGTGTTTTACACTCCTCACACATAAAACGAGTGTCTGCGCTTTTGTGGGCATTTTGTGGTATGTAACACTTCTTCTGAGCATTTTTCTTGAAAGCAGTAGCAGGCAGTGGTACAGGGTAGTGATGACCAGGCCTCAGATGAGAGAGCATGTGTTGATAGTTTTGTGGGTGCTGGTCTATTTCAATTGTTGTTGTTTGGTACTTGAATATTATTTGTCTGATAACTTTTTTTTATTATTATCACACTGGCCGATTCCCACCAAGGCAGGGTGGCCCAAAAAAGAAAAACTTTCACCATCATTCAATCCACCACTGTCTTGCCAGAAGGGTGCTTTACACTACAGTTTTTAAACTGCAACATTAACACCCCTCCTTCAGAGTGTAGGCACTGTACTTCCCATCTCCAGGACTCAAGTCCGGCCTGCCGGTTTCCCTGAACCCTTTCATAAATGTTACTTTGCTCACACTCCAACAGCACGTCAAGTATTAAAAACCATTTGTCTCCATTCACTCCTATCAAACACGCTCACACATGCCTGCTGGAAGTCCAAGCCCCTCGCACACAAAACCTCCTTTACCCCCTCCCTCTAACCTTTCCTAGGCCGACCCCTACCCCGCCTTCCTTCCACTACAGACTGATACACTCTTGAAGTCACTCTGTTTCGCTCCATTCTCTCTACAGTCTGATAACTGAAAAACAAAATTCACCATATTTGGGTTTGTTGTTGGTCTTCAACTTATACATATTATAAGCATTCAGCATGGAAATGTCAAGAAGATGGAAAAAGAGTTTTATGTACCACTTATAACTCTTGCAAACACAATCAGCAAGTCACATTTGTCTACTAAGTGCATATTGAGGTTGCAATCTATCACAGCTGCAGGTTTTACAATGGGTTCACTGGTCTCTCTATTCTGCTTGCCAGTGTTTATCATTTTGTGTCGGTGAACTGATGTCAACAATGTGACATCACATTTGTCATGCTACTGAAATGCCATGATGTCATTGGCAGCAAACACCTGAACATCACCTCTATGAGTGCCAGCGTTGAACCTAGGCATATGCTTACGATTACCAAGCATTGTGCCACAAACATCTGTCGTGTTCACTCGAAAGAAATCACTGAGTAAAGGGCTTGTGTACCAGTTATCAGTATATAAAATATGACTCTTACCAAGATATGGTTCCATCATTGTTCTAGCCACATCACCAGAGATACACAGTAACTTTCTGGTATCTTGCAATGTATTACTGCCAGTGTACACAATTATATCCAAAACCAGACCAATTTTGCAATCACACAGTACAAATAACTTTACACCAAAGCATTTCCTCTTGCTTGGTATGTACTGCTTGAATGACAGTCTGCCTTTGAACAAAATCAAAGACTCATCAATAACAAGCTTCCTGAAGGGATAAAAATGCATACAGCACTTTTGTTTCAAGTACATAAGCACATTCCTGATCTCATATAACCTGTCGCTTCTGTCAGGCCTTGTTTTGTCTGAGAAGTGTTGCATACGTAATGGTAGCACAAATCTATTCACTGGTATAATGTCACCGAAAGTTGGGGTTGAAATCAGGCGGTCTGTCGACCAGTATGTGTTGACACTGTGCTTATACACATGTGGCATAAGCATTATTGTGGCAAAGAACAGATACATCTCTGCTACAGTTGTGTCCTTGCACTGGTGTATGAGTGATCTTGGTGAAAGAATTGTGTTTGCCATGGTGTACTCATAATATGTATTGCTTTCCCTGACAATAATGTCCATCAGGGGTTCATTGAAGAATAACTGAAAGCATTCCAGTTCAGTGGCACTGTTCCCAAATGTACATGATGGCTGTATTCCACTTCGTATTTTTTCAAAGTGATGGGGATTGGAAACAAAACTGTCACCTTGCTGCCAATCCCAGATGCGGTCTGCTGGTGGGTACTGGATATTTACAGGTTGTGGTTGTGGATGTTGTGGGAGTGTGGGGTTGGTTGAGGGTGGTTATGGCTGTGCTGAGGTAGCAGCGTGGATAGTAGTGTGGCCCGTTGCTGGTGCCACATGACTCATGCCACCACCACTATCACCACCACCACCTGCTGCCCCACTCACGTCATTCATCCCCACTGTAACAATATCGTCATCTTCACTATCAGTTTGTGGTGTAGGGCCATGGGATGTACTCCAAGATTTACTCCTTCCCCTTGGAACAACATATGACACACTACCAGAACGTATGCTGCATTGTAAATACGTACTGCTGCTTCACTGGAGAATATTCACCCTCGCTGTCGCAACTAGAACTACTTTCGATAGCTTGGAAATCATTATCACTATCACTTTCACTGCTCACATCTGAGTTCTGTACACAGCAAAATAGTTTCCTCTTTTGTCCTGGTACAGGTGAACGTGAATGAGACGGCCCAGCACCAGAAGTGGAAGGCTATGGGTCATCTGGATTTTCATCACTAATTGCATTATCCTGGGCACTGCTTTTGATCACACCCTCTCCAAAACCATGATATTCACTTTCACTGGCACTTCCATCGCTGTTAGGGCTATCACTTGGGAACAAAAGACCTCCAATCCGCCAAGGAGTGAGGTACTTCTTACCACGAAGCATGGTGAATATGGACTACCAAGATGGCATTCCAACAATGCACCACTGAGTCCCCGATTTTTTTCACAGGGTGCACACCCACCATGCAGACCCATTCTCTCACATGTAGGCCTACCAGCATTTTCCTGCTTGATTTGAGGCTGCTAGAAATTATGCACATAAATACGTCAAACACGGTGGATCGTAAGACGTATATATATGACCGAAACAGTCAAAGGGTTAAAACACTGTATGGAGTCTACCTCCACCACTTTTTTAATGAGGTCATTTCACTTCCTCACCCCCTAAGACTGAAGAAATGCTTCCTGACATCCCCTGTGACTCATCTGTGTCTTCAATTTCCATCTGTGTCCTTGAGCACCTGGTTCTGTCTTTCAAACAGCCTATCCTTGTCTACCCTGTGAATTCCTTGGTTCTGTTCTCCAGTGATATTAGATTTAATTCCATTAGCTAATGTCAATTTTAATCGATACAGGAGAAGGGATTAATAGCCCCTTACTTCAAGCATTTTTGTCACCTTCCATGACATGCATGGTCTATTATGACAATTCTTTTGGGAGATTGTGAAAATAAGTTGCAAAGGCTGGCAGACAAATTTGGAAGAGTATATACAGGAAGGAACATAAAAACAGCATTAAAAAGAACACGGTGATAAGAATAGCACAAAGCCTAGAAAATGAAAGATTTAATCTAAGATTTGAGGCAGAGTATGGAGGAAATAGAAGCATTTAGAAATTTGGAAGTGGAAATGTCAGTAGACAGGTCTATGAAAAACATGGTGAGCCACAGAACAGATAAAGTAAAAACAGATTAAGGCAAAAAAAAAAAAAAAGATGTACCAGAGCATAGTAATACCAACACTTTTATGTAGGTATGAGGCACAGGTTTTGAATGCTGCAGTACAAAGGAGGGTGGAGCCAGTGGAGATGTTATGTTTGAAAGCAATGTGTAATGTGAATATTAGGTAGAGAATTTAGTGTACAAATTAAAAGACAATGTGGGGTCACCAAGGGTAAAGCTCAGTGGGCTGAGCAGGAATTGTTGAGATGGTTTGGGCATTCATAGGATGGAGAGAAATAGGATAAAGAAGAAGGTGAATAAATGTGGTGCTAATAGTAGAAATGGGTAGGAGTCATCCCAGGAACAGTTGGAGGGAAGGGGTAAAAGAGGTTGGAGTTTTAGGGGCTTGAGCATCCAGCAGGCCTGTGTGAATGTTAGACAGGACTGAATGGAGATAAATGGTTTTAATGAACATGCTGCTGGAGTGTGAGCAAAGTAATAGGGTAAACCAGTTAGGCAGTACTGAAGGATGAGTGGGGATGTTGTAGTCAGATGGTTATTTGAATTGTGAAGCTAGCACATTTCTGGCAAGACAGCAACTTAATGAATGATGGTGAATGTTTCCTGTACCTTTTGGACCACCTTAAATTGATAGGTGGCTGATAAGTTAAATAAACAAAATTATATATAAATACACAAGTAAAATACACACCCATACACACACAGAGGAGCTACAACTTGACCCCTGTAACTACATATAGGTAAGTAGAAAGTGGCCACTTTATTAGGTACATCCTTCTAGTACTGGACAGGGCCCCCCACTTTGCCCCCAGAACAACCTGAATTCTTTGTGGCATGGATTCAAAGAAGTGCTGGAAACCTTCCTTAGAGATCCTGGTCCATGTTAACTTGATACCATCACGCAGCTACTGTACATATCCCGAAAGGTTTACGCCAAATTCTGACCCTATCATCTGCATGTCACAGTAGAAACTGCAATTTGACAGATCAGGCAATGTTTTTCCAATCTTCAGCTGTCCAGTTCTGGCGAGTCTGTACCCACTGTGACCTCAGTTTCCTGTTCATAACTGATAAAAGTTGAACCCAGTTTGGTATTCTGCTGCCATTCACTTCAAGGTTTGACATGTAGTGCATTCAGAGATGCTCTTCTGGATACCACTGTTGTAATGAGCGGTTATTTGAGGTTCTGTCACTTTCCTGTCAGTACGAACCAGTCTGGCTATTCTCATCTGACTACTCTCATTAACAAGGAATTTTTGCCAACAGAACTGCCACTCACTGGATGTTTTGTATTTTTCACACCATTCTCTACAAACTCTAGAGACAGTTGTGCATGAAAATTCCAGATCAGCAGTTTCTGAGATACTCAAACTGCCCTGTCTCACACCAACAATCATGCCATGTTCAAAGTCAGTTAGATTGCAGTTCTTCCTCATTCTGATGTTTGGTATGAAAAACAGCTTAACCTCTTGACCATGTCTGCATAATTTTAGGTATTGAGGCGCTGCTACATCATTGACTGATTAGATATTTTCTTTAACCAGCAGGTGTACAAGTGTACCCAATAAGGTGGTCACTGTCTGTCAGTTTCTAGTTGTCAAAGGCAACTGTCAAGAGACACTCGGCCTGTTTGTGCATGTGTGCACATTTTTTTAACACACTGGCCATCTCCTACAGAGGTAGGGTGAGTTAAAAAAGAAACACTTTCTACTACAGTTCAGTTGACCCCTCTAAACTGAAAATATTCAGAGTACTTACCAGGATTTTTCCATGAGAAAACCATTTTATATGCTGCAATGTCAGTGTCACTCTTGCGGAGAAAACTTTGTGATCTAACAACTGCCACCTGCTGGCCTCTTGACCATGCTGTGTTTGTCTGGTATCTGATACCCAAAGCAGTTTCAAGGGCAGTGTTGTAAACACACTTCATACTGGTATGTTGGGTTGCATTATCAATCTCTCCTACACTGGTGGAGCCTTGTACTGTGGCAGAAGACACATCACCTTCATCAGAGCACTTTATGTGACTCTCTGCATTATTGTTATAGAGAATGTCATCACTATCATCACCAACATCCTTATCACTATCCTGTGTTGTAGGTGGGTACTTAAGACTGTGTGTGACATGAGCTGTGAAGCCATGGAAAGAATCACTTGGTATATCCACCTTTAACTCCATATTGTCACCACCCTGAAAAAATAAAATAACTGACATTTAACAGACATAATATACTAGTTAAACTGTTTTAAACAGCTACATGACCTTTTAAGAACCAATAATATTCATATATTAAAATTTAAAAAAAATTATTAATTCATTTGTAGAAACAGCTTTGAAATGTTGTGTCTTCTTCAAACATCTCTTCTAATAACTAATTAACACTAAAAATAACCACAGCCCCAAAAACCTCTGCCTACTATTCTGGCATATCTAATGAGAGAAACAGTTGTAGAAATCAGTTTTAGATTTATTTCACTGCCTTTCCTCCTGCTTTATTCCACTCTTCCAAGCTGACGAAGCTTGTATTTTAAGGAGTGTGGCTGTGTTCAAGTGTGTGAATAAGTATTAGGAGTGAGGCAATATGAAAAAATGCATGACCTGTAGAGATATGAAAGTGAGCAATAGGTGTGTCTGAGAGTATCATAAGGTATAACATTATGTTACAGAATTTGTAAGCTGTAGGGGTGTGGGAGTGAGTTGCAGAGGTATGCAAGTTTTACATAGGTAGCAGCGAGTTGCAGAAGTGCAAATGTGAACTGCAGGTATGCAAGAGTGAGTACAGGAGTGTAGGTATGGTGGAGTTGTAGGGGCATATAAGTAGATGTGAAGCAAGACTTAAAGCTAGACCTAAATCTCATCAAACACAACTATGCAAATATTAGGCATAGAAGAGTGAAATTCAAGGCTGTGGAGTCAGCACATTCAGGGCTGTGGGGTCAGCATATTCAGGGGTGTGGAGTTGGCACATAAAACCTTCGACTCCAACTCCAAATCTGACTTCTTTATTTATGGCACCTCTGACTCCGACTCCTTTATTTATGGCACCTCCGACTCTGACTTTATTTACTGTGACTCTGACTCCTTTATTTATTGAGAATCCAACTCCTTTATTTATGGTGACTCCAACCCCTTTATTTATGGCGACTCCGACTCCTTTATTTATGGCACCTACGACTCTGACTCCTTTAATTATATATCAATGAAGAGAATAATTTTTTTTTTTTCAACAAACCGACCGTATCCCACCAAGGCAGGGTGGCCCAAAAAGAAAAATGAAAGTTTCTCTTTTTAAATTCAGTAATAAGGGAATAAATTATAATATACTAATTGTATATTTGCTATATGGACTGCAAGCATACAACATACAAGCTCAGTAACCTGTTAAAGCTTAGTTCTAAATGCTATAGCTATGCCACTCTGGCTTTTTTATTTTATTTATTAAAGAAATTAGAAACATTCAGTAACCTTATAGTTCAACAAAGGAAAACATGTGAAAAAAATGAAAACAAAGAAGTTATATTTTTATAAAAAGACTATCAAGTAAACCATACCACGGGCAGGGCTAGAAACTGCAGTAGAGAGTTGTAAAACACCAGACCGATGCATTAGCCACTAGGCCAGCTGGCTACAATAAGATTCATTCAACTAGGTATATTTATACATCATAGGAAGGTTAACATAAGCACAACTGTGACCACAAATATCAAGTTTTTACAGACAAATCTTCTGCCAGCATGGCCGTGATGAACTCAAGCTCAAGGCCCCTCAAAGCCATCATCATGACTCATGAAAGCATAATGACATGACTGCAAACAAACCATACCATGCTGGCGGGAGATTCATCTGTAAAAACTTGCATTTGTAGTCAGTGGTGCCTATGCTAACCTTCCTAAGGTGTATAAACATACCTAGTTGGATGAATCTTAATGTAGCCAGCTGGCCTACTGGCTAATGCATCGGTCTGGAGTTTAACGACTCTCTATCAGAGGTTCAAGCCCTGCCGGTAGTATGGTTTGTTTCCAATCGACTCTTTATGATTTCATGAGTCGCTATCAAGTATAAAGTATTTTTTATTATTATTATTATCACACTGGCCGATTCCCACCAAGGCAGGGTGGCCCGAAAAAGAAAAACTTTCACCATCATTCACTCCATCACTGTCTTGCAAGAAGGGTGCTTTACACTACAGTTTTTAAACTGCAACATTAACACCCCTCCTTCAGAGTGCAGGCACTGTACTTCCAATCTCCAGGACTCAAGTCTGGCCTGCCGGTTTCCCTGAACCCCTTCATAAATGTTACTTTGCTCACACTCTAACAGCACATCAAGTATTAAAAACCATTTGTCTCAATTCACTCCTATCAAACATGCTCACGCATGCCTGCTGGAAGTCCAAGCCCCTCACACACAAAACCTCCTTTACCCCATCCCTCCAACCTTTCCTAGGCTGGCCCCTACCCCGCCTTCCTTCCACTACAGACTGATACACTCTTGAAGTCACGCTGTTTCGCTCCATTCTCTCTACATGTCCGAACCACCTCAACAACCCTTCCTCAGCCCTCTGGACAACAGTTTTGGTAATCCCGCACCTCTTCCTAACTTCCAAACTACGAATTCTCTGCATTATATTCACACCACACATTGCCCTCAGACATGACATCTCCACTGCCTCCAGCCTTCTCCTCACTGCAACATTCATCACCCATGCTTCACACCCATATAAGTGTTGGTAAAACTATACTCTCATACATTCCCCTCTTTGCCTCCAAGGACAAAGTTCTTTGTCTCCACAGACTCCTAAGTGCACCACTCGCCCTTTTCCCCTCATCAATTCTATGATTCACCTCATCTTTCATAGACCCATCCGCTGACACGTCCACTCCCAAATATCTGAATACATTCACCTCCTCCATACTCTCTCCCTCCAATCTGATATCCAATCTTTCATCACCTAATCTTTTTGTTATCATCATAACCTTACTCTTTCCTGTATTCACTTTTAATTTTCTTCTTTTGCACACCCTACCAAATTCATCCACCAATCTCTGCAACTTCTCTTCAGAATCTCCCAAGAGCACAGTGTCATCAGCAAAGAGCAACTGTGACAACTCCCACTTTATGTGTGATTCTTTATCTTTTAACTCCACGCCTCTTGCCAAGACCCTCGCATTTACTTCTCTTACAACCCCATCTATAAATATATTAAAAAACCACGGTGACATCACACATCCTTGTCTAAGGCCTATTTTTACTGGGAAATAATTTCCCCTTTCCCTACTACCTAACTTGAGCCTCACTATCCTCGAAAAAAAAAACTCTTCACTGCTTTTAGTAACCCACCTCCGCACCATACACCTGCAACATTGCCACATTGCCCCCCTATCCACCCCGTATACCCTTTTCCCCAAACCATAAAAACCACAAAGACCCTTTAGCCTTACTAAATACTGTTCACTTATATGTTACACTGTAAACACCTGGTCCACACCCCCCTCCCTTTCCTAACCTCCTTTTTATCTGTTTCCTATTCTCCGTCTTACTCTTAATTCTTTTAAATAATAACCAAACCTTCCTTTTCCCCAGGATACCAACAGACTTACCCCCCCTAAAATTTTTTTGCACTTCTTTTTCCCCCTTTCCTTTTTATACAAAAGAACTATGCTGCTTCTGCCAACCCCTATACCTTACCCCTTCCATCTTTATTAAATAATTCCCAAAAACCATTCCAAAAAACATACCCCCCACCGCTTTTAACATTTCACCCCTTTTACCCCATCATCCCTGCCTTACCCCCTTTCATTTTTAGTACTCCCCTCACAACTTCCCCCACACTCACAAGGGCTCTTCCTCACCCTACAAGATGTTTCCCCTTGCCCTATAAGAAATCACAGCTTCCCTATCTTCTCAACTTTTAAAAATTTCCCCTTAAAAAATTTTCCCTCCATTTTCCCCAATACTCTAACTCTCCATTTAATAACTCTCCCCCCCTTTTTTTTAAGACAAATCCATTTGTTGTCTAGGCTTCCTTAACTTTTTAATCCACTCCAAAATTTTTTCTTTTTTTCAACAAAATTTGTTGATAACATCTCACCCACCTCTCATTTGCCCCTTTTTACTTGCTTCACCACTCTCTTAACCCCCTCTTTTTCCATATACTCTTCCCCCCTTGCATCACTTCTACTTTGAAAAACTTCTATATGCAATTTTTTTTCCTACTACTCTCTTTACATCACTTTCCCCCAAATTCCCTCTTCCCTCCCCACCCCTTTCCCGTAACCACAAAATTCTGCGAAAACTCGAACCTACATTTTAAACCTACCCCCATCCCTTTTGACCCCATTGCCCATGCTCCATTAGCCCTCTTCTCCAAAGCATTTTTATCTTACCCTAACTGCCCCCCTTTTAGTTATAAAACCTCACCCTCTCTTTTCCTGATGCTTCTATTCCCTTGATCCCCTCTACCTTTTACTCTCGGTACTACAACTAGAAAGGATCTGATATACAGGGACCCCCCCCCAAACGATGGCACACATAGGGTTATTTCGAAAACCCCACTTAAAATTTCAAAAATTTTCCTCACATACCGCTTAAAAACCCCCTTACCCATTTTCTTCCCGGGGGCCCCACAGTTCCGCGGGGGCATTTTTTACCCCAGCCTCCCGGTAACATCCCAAACATACAATCGGAATATTTTCGTATTATTACAGGTTTTCGGTGCTTTTTCTGGAAAATAAGTGACCATGGGCCCCAAGAAAGCTTCTAGTGCCAACCCTACAGCAATAAGGGTGAGAATTACAATAGAGATGAAGAAAAAGATCATTGATAAGTATGAAAGTGGAGTGCATGTCTCCGAGCTGGCCAGGTTGTATAATAAACCCCAATCAACCATCGCTACTATTGGTGGTACAGCTGCTGCTGCTGCTGCACTGTCAGCTGCTGCTGCTGCTGCACTGTCAGCTGCTGCTGCTGCTGTAGCACCGTTGTTGGTGTGGCTTATTGAGAATACCAAGAAACAATTAACCCCAGAGGATTTGCCACCCAGGATAACCCAAAAAAGTCAGTGTCATCGAAGACTGTCTAACTTATTTCCATTGGGGTCCTTAATCTTATCTCCCAGGATGCAACCCACACAAGTCGACTAACACCCAGGTGAACAGGGAAAAATGCCTGGAACTAGTGCTCATATTGGTGAATTTAAAGCCAGCAAAGGTTGGTTTGAGAGATTTAAGAATCGTAGTGGCATACACAGTGTGATAAGGCCTGTTCTGGAAGAAAATGCCAAACAGGACCTACAGTACTCAGGAGGAAAAGGCACTCCCAGGACACAGTGTCTCATCAGTCATTGCTGCATCTTCAATAAAGGTAAGTGTCATTTATTCTTCATTTAGTAGACTAGTACATGCACAATATATACTGTGCATGTACTACTCTACTATTGTGCATGTATCCTTCTCTTTGTGTGTGGGAAAATGTATATTTCATGTGGTAAAATTTTTTTTTTCATACTTTTGGGTGTCTTGCACGGATTAATTTTATTTCCATTATTTCTTATGGGGAAAATTCATTCACATAACGATTATTTCGCATAACAATTACCCCTCTTGCACGGATTAAAATCGTTAACCGGGGGTCCACTGTATCTGTGGCCCCTCTATAAACATGTACATCCTGAAGTCTACTCAACAGTCTTTTATCTACCAATACATAATCCAACAAACTACTGTCATTTTGCCTTACATCATATCTTGTATACTTATTTATCCTCTTTTTCTTAAAATATGTATTACCTATAACTAAACCCCTTTCTTTACAAAGTTCAATCAAAGGGCTCCCATTATCATTTACACCTGGCACCCCAAACTTACCTACCACACCCTCTCTAAAAGTTTCTCCTACTTTAGCATTCAGATCCCCTACCACAATTAGGATGTAAAAGAAAGAAACTATAAAAAAAATCTGAATCAGAAACATCCTTCCCTATTAGTTAAAAAATCTGAAGCACTTCCTTTGATATTACTAAAAAGAATTCAAAGTTAATACTATAAAAAAGTAAAAAGCAACTGAAAACCTAAAACAACTTAAATGACCAAGTTAAGAAAGCCTAGGGAACGAATGGATTTGTCAGTTAAAAACAGAGTGGGGGAGTTAGTAGATGGGGAGATGGAGATATTGGGTAGATGGCGAGAATATTTTGAGGAGCTTTTAAATGTCGACGAAGAAAGGGAGGTGGTAATTTCATGCACTGGCCAGGGAGGTATACCATCTTTTAGGAGTGAAGAAGAGCAGGATGTGAGTGTGGGGGAGGTACATGAGGCATTACATAGAATGAAAGGGGTAAAGCAGCTGAAACTGACGGGATCATGACAGAAATGTTAAAAGCAGGAGGGGTAATAGTGTTGGAGTGGTTGGCATTTTTCTTTTATAAATGTACGAAAGAGGGGAAGGTACCTAGGGATTGGCGGAGAGCACGTATAGTCCCTTTATATAAAGGGAAGGGGGACAGAAGAGATTGTAAATATTATAGAGGAATAAGTTTACTGAGTATACCAGGAAAAGTGTACGGTAGGGTTATTATTGAAAGAATTAGAGGTAAGACAGAAAGTAGGATTGCAGATGAGCAAGGAGGTTTTAGAGTGGGTAGGGGATGTGTAGATCAAGTGTTTACATTGAAGCATATATGTGAACAGTATTTAGATAAAGGAAGGGAAGTTTTTATTGCATTTATGGATTTAGAAAATGCATATGATAGAGTGGATAGGGGGGCAATGTGGCAGATGTTGCAAGTATACTGAATAGGTAGTAAGTTACTAAATGGCGTAAAGAGTTTTTATGAGGATAGTGAGGCTCAGGTTAGGGTGTGTAGAAGAGAGGGAGACTATTTCCCGGTAAAAGTAGGTCTTAAACAGGGATGTGTAATGTCACCATGGTTGTTTAATATATTTATAGATGGGGTTGAAAAAGAAGTAAATGGTAGGGTGTTCAGGAGAGGGGTAGGATTAAATTATGGGGAATCAAATACAAAATGGGAATTGACACAGTTACTTTTTGCTGATGATACTGTGCTTACGGGAGATTCTAAAGTAAAATTGCAAAGGTTAGTGGATGAGTTTGAGAGTGTGTGTAAAGGTAGAAAGTTGAAAGTGAACATAGAAAAGAGTAAGGTGATGAGGGTATCAAATGATTTAGATAAAGAAAAATTGGATATCAAATTGGGGAGGAGTAGTATGGAAGAAGTGAATGTTTTCAGATATTTGGGAGTTGACGTGTCAGCAGATGGATTTATGAAGGATGAGGTTAATCATAGAACCGATGAAGGAAAAAAGGCAAGTGGTGTGTTGAGGTATACTTTCCTTTTTTTTTTTTTTTTTTTTAACAAGTTGGCTGTCTACCACCGAGGCAGGGTGACCCAAAAAGAAAGAAAATCTCCAAAAAGAAAAATACTTTCATCATCACTGAACACTTTCACCTCACTCACACATAATCACTGTTTTTGCAGAGGTGCTCAGAACAGAACAGTTTAGAAGCATACACGTATAAAGATACACAACATATCCCTCCAAAACTGCCAATATCCCGAACCTCTCCTTTAGAGTGCAGTAGGTGGTAGGTTGGTAGACAGCAACCAACATGGAGGTACTACCGTCCTGAGTGTGAAACGAAAGCCTGTAATTGTTTTACATGATGGTAGGATTGCTGGTGTCTTTTGTCTGTCTCATAAATATGCAAGATTACAGGTACGTCTTGCTACTTCTACTTACACTTAGGTCGCACTACACATACATGTGCACGTTTATTTATACACACTCATCTGAGTTTTCTTTGAATTTATCTTAATAGTTCTTGGTCTTATTACTTTTCCTTTTATATCCATGGGGAAGTGGAATAAGAATCTTTCCTCCGTAAGCCATGCATGTTGTAAAAGTCAATTAAAATGCCGGGAACAATGGGCTAGTAACCCCTTTTCCTGTAATAATTACTAAAAAGAATAATAAGAGGAAAATTGTCAAAGTGGGAAGTCTGAATGCGCATGGATGTTGTGCAAATGATAAGAAAGAGATGATTGTGGATGTTGAGGTATGCGTGGAGACAAAAAACATTATCTATGGAGGCAAAGAAGGGAATGTATGAAAGTATAGTAGTACCAACACTCTTATATGGGCGTGAAACTTGGGTTGTAAATGTGGCAGCGAGGAGGCGGCTGGAGGCAGTGGAGATGTCCTGTCTAAGGGCAATGTGGGGTGTAAATATTATACAGAAATTTCGGAGTGTGGAAATTAGGAGAAGGTGTGGAGTTAATAAAAGTATTAATCAGAGGGCTGAAGAGGGGTTGTTGAGGTGGTTTGGTCATTTAGTGAGAATGGATCAGAGTAGAATGACATGGAGAGCGTATAAATCTGTAGGGGAAGGAAGGCGGGGTAGGGGTCATCCTTGAAAAGGTTGGAGGGAGGGGGTAAAGGGGTAAAGGAGGTTTTTGTGGGTGAGGGGCTTGGACTTCCAGCAAGTGTGCGTGAGCGTGTTAGATAGGAGTGAATGGAGACGAATGGTATTTCAGATCTAACGAGCTGTTGGAGTGTGAGCAGATTAATATTTAGTGAAGGGATTCAGGGAAACCGGTTATTTTTATATAACCGGACTTGAGTCCTGGAAATGGGAAGTACAATGCCTGCACTTTAAAGGAGGGGTTTTGGATATTGAGAGTTTGGAGGGATATGTTGTGTATCTTTATACGAATATGCTTCTAAACTGTTGTATTCTGAGCACCTCTGCAAAAACAGTGATTATGTGTGAGAGGGTGAAAGCGTTGAATGATGATGAAAGTATATTTGTTTTGGGGATTTTCTTTCTTTTTGGGTCACCCTGCCTCGGTGGGAGACGGCCGACTTTTTAAAAAAAAAAATTAAATTTATTAGGAGTCAGATTCAGTACACTTTCACCAACTCCGACATCAGTAACCCAAGAACCGCTTCCAACTCCAACTCCATGACTCTGACTCCACAGCCCTGGACTGCAATTCCTACAAAAACTGCTAGACAGCAGGATAAAGAGCTGGAACTAAACCAAGTAACACAAACAAAATAGTAGCAGGCTCAGGAGCTTCAGCTCAATATCAAAATCAGCTAGACAGAGCCATACCAAGCCTTTCACATCAAAAGTACTGTTTCCTTCTTATAGATTACTGGTCATACTAATGTTGGAACATTTCAAGGTGCCCAGATGTACTTCCTCAGCCACCAAATTGAGAAACTAAATGTTTTATATTAAACAGTTATAATAAGAAAGTAGAGTAGAATCGTGCAGCAACATGGGATGAAGGCAAGAAGAAACTAAGAATTCAGAATAAAAAGGTAAATGTATCCCTTAAGTGATGAATACATGGAAGGGTGGAAGGTATAAAAAAAAATTATGGAAAAGTTAAACAAGTTAAAAGATTATTGTTAGTGTTATAACTTATTATTGGAGAGAATGATTCCTTTATGTTGATACTTCAAAATAATGTAAATTTCAAAAACAGAAATGGAAAAGGATTACAAAAAATTGTAGGACATGGAGATATTACAGGAATTATAAGAGAGATGGTTACTCGAGTTCAACTCTAAGATAAAATGTATGGCAAAGATGGGAGATAGGAAATGAGACCAGTAGAGTACATACCGGACACCTCCCAGTTACAAAGCACTATGAAAAGAGGCTTTAATTTACATAACAAACCTGAATCATCAAGACTGCAGATACATCAAAACCAGCAGATGCCTGTGTTGAAGAGGAGGCTATAACTTCACCAGTCAGAGATGATACACCCAGTTGTGACAGTGAATACACACCCACACTGTAAGAAAATGCATTATATTATTAAACTCACTTTACATAGCAGCAACTAAGGTTATTTGATTACAAAGATTAATCTGGAAACTAGCATTGGTCTGCATTAAATATTTTACTTCAATTTTACGTAAAACAACCTGCAAGGAATTAAAAGATCAATGCGACTAGTTTAGATAAAACAAAGGAGAGATCAAATAAAGCACAGTAAGGCCCCGCTTTACAGCGTTTCGCCTTACGGCGTTCCGCTAATACGGCGATGTCAAATTATGACCAAAATTTGCTATACGACAAGCGGTCTTTCAAATACGGCGCCCCCCCCACCCGGTTTGTTTACATTTTCTGTGACCACATCTATTATGTCAGGAAACTTTCAAAAATTTCAAGTGTTTTAAATTACTGCATATTTTATATGTACTCTGATAATTATACTTATGTGTACCTGTACCTAAATATACTTACACACTGTGCTGGTGTGCAGGTACACATTAAAATCGCTAAGTCTCTCTCTACTCATGACGCCAATACTACGTAATAATAATCACTCTTGGGCACACTAAATGTCTTATTTTACATCAACATAGGCATTTTCATTAATCCATCTATGATATTTTCCTCAAAATTATATATGAAACCCATTACATAGCATATAACCATGATACATACACTCACAGAATAAAAATTGACGTAAATATGATATTTGTTTACCAAGCAGCGGTGTAGGAATTGTCGGAAGAATTATGTTTTCTCTAGTCAAACTGGGGGATAACTATAGAAAAATATTCTTTTCGTATGCCTTTACTCTCTATATAGTAATTCACGACCCTTGTGGGTTTAGTGCTTTTTATAATAATAATAATAATAATAATAATAATACGGTCGTAAGTCGAGTGGACGTATGTCGAGCAGGTCGTAAGTCGGATGGTAGGTGTATTATTATTATTATATTAATTATTATTATTATTATTATTATTATTATTATTATTATTATCTTCATTCACTCTAAAAATGGTGTGTTGCTGTTTGTTTATTCTGAGCTAACTTGTACAACTTGTACACAATGTAAGAGTATTTGTATTGTGAGGTAATTATTATTATAATAAAAAAAATATTGAGGTAAATGTTTTACAAACTCTTACAAATGGACGTGAATGAACTAAAAGTACACACATATTAATATGCATTTATTTCGCCTGACCAAGTGATCGTCCACTACCTGTTCAGTTTGTGTTCTTACACTGTCTCAACTCTGTATCTCGTTCTCTCTCTCGTTTACTCTTTCGTTAACTAGTTGGCTCTCATTGACGATGGCGTCTAAGGTTAGCTGTGATAAAAAGAGAAGTCGTAAGCCTCTTGCTTTAACCCTTTGAGGGTTTTGGTCGTACTAGTACGTCTTACGCGTAGGGGTTTTTGACGTACTAGTACTCATAAATTCTAGCGGCCTCAAATCTAGTGGGAGAAAGCTGGTAGGCCTTCATATGAAAGAATGGGTCTATGTGGTCAGTGTGCACAGTCTAAAAAAAATCCTGCAGCACACAGTGCATAATGAGAAAAAAAAACTTGGACCATTTTTTTGGAATAAAACAGCGACTTTGCACTGTATTTTCGTATGGTATTTATTGTTGTATTCTAGTTTTCTTGGTCTCATTTTATAGAATGGAGGACATATTACAGAAATTGAGATGATTTTGACCGGTTTTACAATGAAAGGTACCTTGAAATTGAGCTCAAAGTAGCAGAAATGTTCGATTTTTACCAAACTTCAAAAGTAAACAAATTGTGCCAAGCGTGCAATACACGTCAACTGGTGAGTCTAATATTCTTTCACAAGTGCACCAATAATATTTATACCATTTTTTACACTAATGCAGTAGTCTGCATAACAGTAAATCTTATATTTTTTGTGAAAATAAAAATTCAAAGTGGAAAGCAAAAGAATATAAGAGGGGCCTTGAGACGTGACTAATGACTAGAAGAAATGTCATTTTAGTGCCAGGAATGTCTTTCTTGTTTATTCTGGACCCTATTCGGAAATTGGCATCTTTTGAAATTTGTGTGAAATTGGCAAAATTGCTAAATTCTGACCACTGTACTGGATAGTTGAATTTCATTTAAAAGGGTGGTTCTTTGCACCCATTCGATAGAAAAAAAAGGAGTTCTAAACGAAATATTCAGGGTTTTTTGTCGACTAGTACAGTGAAATTGGCCGAAAATGGGGCTCAAAGTGGGCAAAATCGCCGATGCGTAAACATCACCGAGACCGCTAACTTTGCGAGAGCATAATTCCGTAAGTTTTCAATCAAATTTCAAACTTTTGGTGTCTTTATGATCGGGAAAAGATTCTCTATCTTTTCATAAGAGAAAATAATTTTTTTTTTTTTTAAATTTGGCCGACCCTGAGAACGAGTTTCGGAGAGGGCCTGTCGACCCTCAAAGGGTTAAGTGCCAAGTTAGAGGATGATGGTGTGCCATTCTGATTTTATTCAATAAACACCCTGCCACTCACCTCTCACACATTAATATTAATATTTTAAGCTAAGTAATAAGTGTACTCTGTGTGTATCTTACCTTTTATTGTGTTTTTAATGCCTATTTCTATTGCTAACTTAATATAAGTTAGTGTAAACTTGTTGTCTGGCATTTATTGCATATTTTATGTGTGCTCTGATAATACTTGTACTGTGTGGTAGCCGGGTGGAGGGACAACATTACGTTTTCTCTGTTCAGCCATCAGAGGAAACGTATGAATCTGCGTTTGGCCCAGCCACTCCCTCACTCCACTTTTATTTACAATTTTCGTCATGAATTATTCATTATTTCTACCTTCGTTTATGATGGCATCTAAAGGTAGCTGTTACAAATGATTAAATTCAGTGAACAAGGCATGTCGATGTTAATAATATGGCTCTGGGCCACAATGTAGGTAGCCGGTAGGTGTAGCCCAGGCAGGCTACACCTACCGGCTACCTACACTGACTTCCTACAAATAAATACTACTCACCTCTCTTCCTATATTAAGACTACACATATTTTAAGGTAAATAATGAGTGTACTGTATGTGTATTTTACGTCTCTGGGATGTTTTAAATATCGTACATTAAGTATGAGACGGGGAGCCAGGGCTACCTACACCTGGGCTACCTGCACCTGACTTCCTACAAATAAGTACTACTCACCTCTCTCCCTACATTAAGATTACAAATACTTTAAGATAAGTAATGAATTTACTGTGAATGTATTTTACTTTGTGTGTTTTTAATGCCTGGTTCTATTACTAACTTAATATAATTTAGTGTATACTTGTTGTCTGGCACTCCAACAGCTGTTGGAGTGTGAGCAAAGTAACATTTATGAAGGGGTTCAGGGAAACCGGCAGGCCGGACTTGAGTCCTGGAGATGGGAAGTACAGTGCCTGCACTCTGAAGGAGGGGTGTTAATGTTGCAGTTTAAAAACTGTAGTGTAAAGCACCCTTCTGGCAAGACAGTGATGGAGTGAATGATGGTGAAAGTTTTTCTTTTTCGGGCCACCCTGCCTTGGTGGGAATCGGCCAGTGTGATAATAAAAAAAAAAATTGTTGTCTGGCATTTATATGCATTTATAAATGGAAAAAAATGGCGTTCTGCCTTCCGGCAATGTCTGCTTTCGGCGACAGCCTAGAACCTAACCCACCATATAAGTGGGGCCCTACTGTGTAACAGGAGGTCTCCTCATTCAGTGTCAGGATATACTGGATTTAAAAATGTAATAATATAAAAAAAAAATAAATAATAAATAACTAAATGCTGTCATTACCTCACAGATATGTGAGGAATGATATGGTTAAATATATAGGAAGCCATCAGACTTGTATGAGTGTGTTAGAGAGTTGTATAGGCAAATGGTTTTGGGGACTAGACGAGCTGTTGAGTACAAGCAAGGTAACATTTTGTGAAGGGATTCAGGGAAGCCAGTTAACTGGACTTGAGTCCTGGAGGTGAAAAGTACAGTGCCTACACTCTGGAGGGGTGGGGATATTTTCAGTTTGGAGGGGCATCTGACCTGTAGTGTCTGTGTACCTCTGGCAACAGACAGCGATGGAGTGAATGACAGCAAAAGTGTTCTCTTTTTGGGTCACCCTACCTCAGTGGGAGATGACCAGTGTGTTAAGAAAAAAAAAAAAGCTGAGTTGTGATGTTGGCATACTTCTGGCAAGGAAGTGATTGAATAAATGATTGTGAAGGTGTTTCTTCTTTTCAGGTCATCCTATCTTTGTGGGAGATGGCTGATGTGATAAAAAAAAAAATAGGAAACCATTAACCCTTTCATTGTCCGGACCCATGATCTGAGAATTGCTCTCAGTGTCCAAGAATTCCCCCCCCCCTAAAAAAAAAAAAATTGAAGTGATAAAGAATCTTTTTCCGAAGGTAATGAAACCAAAGGTACAAAATCTGATGGAAAATTGACAAAAATTACATTTTCGCAAATTTTGCTGTCGCTTGTGCCCAGCCTGAGTCCTATTTTAGGCCAATTACACTGTTCCAGTTAACCAAATTCTTAGCTATTTCGTTAGTATGTCTTCCATTTTATCGACTGAGCACAAAAAACTGCCCAATCAACTATTTCAACTACCCAATAAAGTGATCAGAAATTGGTAATTTGGCAAATTTCACATAAATTTCAAAATATTCCAATTTCAAAATAGGGTCCAGAATAAACGAAACAGACATTACTGGCACTAAAATAACATTTCCTCTGTTCATTAGTTATGTTCCCAGGCTTTACATATGAATTCCATTTCAAATTTTTATTCACACAAAAAAGAGAAGATTTACTGTTTAGCAATATTTTAATAATTGTATAAATAATATCAGGACATTTGTGAACTCATATTAGACAAGTGACGTGATTTGTTTACTCTTGAATATCAGCAAAACTCTAACATTTCTGCATCACTGAGCATAATTTCAAGCTCTTTTCATTCCTGAAACCAATCAAATCATCTCTATTTCTGTAATGTATCTTCCATT